ATTATACAAAGAAAAATTCTTCTCATCAACACCCCAAATGCAGTGCCAATAGTTGCATCGTTCTTGAAGCCAAACTTCATTTTCTAGCCAAAACACCTTGAATGAAGCATGTTCAAGATTGTTATTAAAGTTGCACCAAAACAATGTTGTTGCCATAAATTCTCATTGCATTCTCAACTGTATTCTTGTTTGAACGGAAGGATATGTTCTACTATATTAAAAATATATGTCAAATGAGAATAGATTCAATCAAAAATTCTTCGATTAAGAATTTTGAACTCCTGACGTCCTAAACTCCTAAACTAAAAATATAAAACTTGTAATTAAACATTCAAACTACAATTTTTTTTTTATAAGTCGAAATAGAAGTTGAACATCAATATGGTATAAGTTGTATATTATACTTTTCAAATTTTATAGAGTTTTAAAATTCAACATCAATCGTTGAACTTAAGAAAAGTCATCAACTCCATCCACTACGATCTATTAAAAAAAGATGGTGTCATTGAAATTTGGCATAGAATCGTTATATACTAAAATCATCATCTTTCAACTTGCCATAGATTATTAGAGGTTCTCCTTCTCAATAATTAAGAATTGTCACTTTCTAAGATGATTCTCGAGATTGGAAAACTAAACAAGTGAAAACGTTAAAAGTTGATGCATAGTAAATAACAAAATCAGAGAATTCAGAGCATTTTTTTTTTTTTTTTTTTTTGTTTATGGGTCTAAAATCAGTTTGTGTTTAAATTTTTTTTGGAATGATGAACTATATTTTGTATAATCTTTAAAAACTTATATATGGAAAGTATAATCAAACACATACCTTTTTCATGGAAAGCAAAATTAAACACATGCCATTTACATATATATTAATTATTTGGAGTTAGAGATTTTTTTTTTTTTTTTTTTTTTTTTGAAAAAGGAAGGTAGATGAAAGGATCGTAATCTTTTTTATTTAATAAATATTAATTATTTGTAGTTTTGTAATTATAGAAATATTATATATTTAGCATATACATCAAGAAAAAATATGCTATTTAATTTGTGACCTAGATGACTATATAATGGATTGGCAAGAAAGAAACCATCGCACCAAACCATTCAAAAAAAATTGGAATACAAAAGATAATATGACAAAGATGTGTAGCATGAAGATGGGTTTCGTTATTGTGATGATACTGCTGGTTGTGTCTCGTTCTGGTAAAATTTCTAGTTCTTCGTTCTTTATTTGTTTTGAACCTGTTTGAAGATTAATATTTCAATAGTTAATGAATGATTCAAAAGATTCAAACAATAGTTAATGAATGATTCAAAAGATTCAAACATGATGTTATATCACACAGTTGAAGTTGAAGGGAAGCGACCACTAGTATCAAAGAAAAGCCTTTTAACACAAATTGCATGCAACTTCGATAATGAATGCGGAGGACCTGATTGTTTTTGTTCTGATGTCGGCTTATGCTTCTGTCGCACCCAAAAAGTAGAAGCTAAGTTTGAAGAGCTAACCGGAGATGATTTCAAGAATTAAGTATTAATAAGATCCTAACGAATCATGGTGTGATTGTAAGTGTGTCGGATTAAATTTTATCCTTATGAATAATAATAGCAACATTACCATAATATATATATATATATATTTTTGTCATCTTTTTGACACTTGGGGTGGGTGGTTTTTGAGACAGCATACTAATTTGAATTCATACTAGTAGTCCTAAAAAAAACCATTAAACTTTGTACATCGTGCTAACATCGTGCTAACAAATATGATATGGCTCCAGCATTCTCCCGCTACATAGTCACGTCACTTACTCCTGCTTCTAACAGTAAAAATTATCTTTACAAACTAACAAGAGTCGTTCCAACATGCTTTGTCCTCGCTCACATGTATCACGAAGAAATTTCTAGGACGTCATCCAACTTAGAACTACTCCAAACAAAGTATGTTAACTATGAAGTTCGTGTGATTGAGCCACTAAAAAGGAAGATGCACATTGTTGGAATAGATAGTAACTTTTATTTCCTTTAAGGCTTCCTTAGTCATCCTATCTTCATTTTGATGTGGTCTCGATTCATTCATGTACTCCTCCTTTACTCAGGTATCACATGCCCACCTGTTTCTCTTGAATAGTTTGTCATGGTGTAACACTCTTATTTACCTAAATCATCGTTTTTCGACTTGCAATAGACCAGTAGAGCTACGTCTTCTTGATAATTAAGAATCGTCACTTTCTAATACAATTTTGGAAATTGACGTACAAAACAAGTAAAAATATTAGAAGTTGATGCAAAATAATCAAAGAAAAATTATATAGAGATTATTCATTATTTTCATTTTTGGATTGACTTAGTAAATGTAAGACACTCATATACGGTTATGGCGTCGCGATGAAGGCCATAAACGGAGTGTTGGCATAGTCGCATTTACGTTTATTTGTTGGTAGCCCCTAGGTTAGTTGTCCATGTCACCTTTTTATGTAATACTTTAAATGGATGGTTTTTGCACACATTAGTCGGGTCATGCATGCATTGGCACCCTATTTTTAATAGGCAAATATTAGTCGGGTCATGCATGCATTGGCACCCTGTTTTTAATAGGCAAATATTAGTCGGGTCATGCATGCATTGGCACCCTGTTTTAAATAGGCAAATAAGGGTGTTATAATTGTCGGCTCTTAGTTTATTTATAAGTTTTATATCATTCACATTTGTTACATCATTCTTATATCTTATTACATCATTCACATTTATAAGTTTTAATTAAAGTTTGATGTTGTTAATGTGTAAGGGGTCATCAATATAAAATTGAAACCTTTCAATTTTGACTCGAGAATAAATGTTTTAACAAATTCATGACTTCTATTTAGGTTAATGTTAATGACAAAATCGGGCAAGCTTAATTATATGTAACAGCTCAAATCCTACTTGATTGGCGCTTAACACACATTCTAGACCATGAACCTCCCCAGATAGACAAGGACTGAGTTATTACCAGATTAGAACACTTTTAAAGACCAAAAAAAAATTTAGAGGTACATGATGTAGCAACGGTAAAAAAAAAAAAAAAAAATCAATTTCTCATCTCTCAAAAAGGCTTCACGTTTACACAGATTGAGTTCCACGAGCAAGTGATGTCATTCGAAGAGATCTCACACTAAGCCATATTTTACCTCTTCCTTTTCTTTTAGAGAGATATTAATCTCATTGCAATTATTTAGTTTTTGAGTTAGAAATTGAAGTCATTCGAAGAAATCACGTCACCTTTATCAACCATTTAAAACAAAAAATTAAGAATGGATTAGAATGGATAAAAAATAACTTGTGAACAGACTAAAAAAAGGAGGGAAAAATACAAAGACAAAAGAAAGATCGGGAGAGGAGATAAAGAAAATGAAGGATCTAATTGAGTTATAAAATCATGTTTGTCTGTGTTAGCATATTTATATTTTAAAAACATTAAATCTAAATTGAAAAATTAAGAATTTATTGAATACATACTAAAATTTAGTAATCTAATCAATTATTAGGCTAATTATAGATATGAACTTACTTTTCTAGAATAATCAATAATTATAGGAAATCAATTACAAGTGATTTTTAATTTCAAGAATTTTAAATTACAAACAATAGATTGATTATGAAAAGAAAAGAAAAAAAGATAAGAGTATATATATGACCAGAAATTTCTTTACCCTCAACCATTGGACTACAAGGTGGCTGATCGGTTACCTGAATGTCAAGTATGACTCGTAATAATCTATCTTTAGGGGCATACGATGATTTTTTTTCGCCATCTAAGATGTTAACTTACCTATTAAAATATCATCCGGCAAGTAAATTACTCTCGATTGTTCAATCATTTAATAACTATAGTCATTCTTTGATAAATGATGACTATGAATTAGACTCGATAGAATTTGATCAATCATTTTTTCTATCGTTAAGGTGGAGAACTGAACCAAGAATTCTTTGTTTTTCATAAATCAAACCCAAGATTCTATTTTATCATCAATCCAATTATTACTCCCCTTTTTATTTTTTGGGTCATTTTGTTTTAATTGATATCATTGATATCATAGATACCATAGAGACGATGGATGGAAGGTTGAATTTGAAAGAATTGTTTTATATAGCATGACATGTGCTAACTATAACAGCTCAGCGTACTGTTAGCAGATATTGTCCACTTTCGCCCGATACATATCATCACCAACCTCACGATTTTAAAACGCGTTCACTGGAGAAAGGTTTCCACACTTTTATAAGAAATGTTTTGTTCCTTTCCAACCGATGTGGGATCTCACAATCCACCCCTTTGAGGGCCTAACGTTCTCGCTGGCACACCACCCAGTGTCTGACTCTAATATCTTTGTAACAACTCAAGCTCACCGCTAGCAAATATTGTTCACTTTGACATGTTACATATGGTCGTCAGCCTTACGGTTTTAAAAAGCGTTACTAAGGAGAGGTTTCCAACCCTTAATAAAGAATTAATAAAGAAGGTTTCATTTCCCTCTCCAACCAAATTAGAATCTCACCGACATACGATCAGCAAAATACATTATACAAGGAAGGTGGGTGTCTTGAAGACAACTAAATTATATATAATTGCGGCACAAGTCTGAATGCATCCATGCTTGCTTAACTACTTCAATTTCAGGAGTTACTACTTGATCTGGTGGAGTAATTGGGCACTTTTCCTTCGAGATGTGAACATGGTGAAGTGATCCCATCATAATAGAAGCAGCAGCACTAGAACATAGCACTGAGTAACACTACCAAACTGATTACATAATTATTGGCTACAAACCCTTAATTTATAAATAACAATGTAAATATTATATATAACAACCAAACAGAGCTGGAAATAAACCAGGGATCACAAATGTTATAAATAGTAAGGTTGACGATATCAATAACCCATAAACAACTAAAACCTTAAGAACTCATTATCCAGATGATATACAATTGAGGCATGCTTACAAAGATAAGACGGTGAATAGAAAGAAATTACTCGAGAAACTTGGTTATTTATGCTGGCTGGTGTAGCTACGGGATTGACTCATCCAAAACTATATATACATATTGCCTTTCTGTTAATTATATTTTCTGTAACAAGTTAACAACATAATGACATCAACATACATTCATTCAGTAACATCTAAACACATGTACAGCTTCAAAAACAGGGGGGGGGGGGGG